ATGGATAAAGAAGATGTGGTATTTATACACGATGGACTACTACTCAGCCATAAGAAATGACGAAATCCGGCCATTTGTGACAACATGGATGGACCTTGAGGGTATTATGCTGAGTGAAATAAGTCAGAGGGAGAAAGTCAAATACCATATGATCTCACTCATAAGTAGAAGATAAATACGACAAAAAAAAAACCCACATAGCATTGGAGATTGGACTGGTGGCTACCATTTTGGAAGGGGGGAGGGGGGAGGGCAAAAGGGGTGACTAGGGTCACATGTGAGGGGATGCACTATAATTAGTGTTCGGGTGGTGAACATGATGTAATGTATACAGAATTTGAAATATGATGCACAAGCAAAAAAAATAAAAATGAAAAAAAAAAGGAAAAGAAAAGAAAACCAACAGACAAATAATTACGGCAATTAAGATAACTCAACAACTATTTAGAATATGAAACCAACATTTAAAAATCCAGAGCAGATTCCTGCTCTGTCTATAAAAAATTAACTGCTTCAGGAAATGCCTTCTCCCCATAACAGTCTAGAAAAACAGACAAAAATCTATGAAATCTTTCTTTTCAGACATTGGGTAAAAGGGAGCACAGGACCATGATTCCTGAAAGAAGGGAAACAAATGAGATAAGCCCTGAGATTGCCTGAATTCAATGCCTGAAGACAGTTTCCAGGTTTCAGAAACCCATAATACACACAGCATTAGTTAAAATCCTCTCAAACTAATGTCTTAATATCAGGGCTTAATAGGCCAAAATTAAAACTGCTGTATATATATCATAAAAAAACAGATAAAAATTTTAGAGGTGAAATATATAATAACTGAAATGAAAAAGCATAGTATATATATATATGAGTTCTGGGAAGAGGTAGACCTGTGTTCAAATCTAGGCTTTGTATAGACTGAGCAGCTTGGTAAAGTCCCTTGAAATTTCTGAGATTTAGTTTCCTAATAGGTAAATGATTAAAAAATACTTATGTTGAAAGTTTTTGAAAAGGATTCTGTATATGTTTTAGTAATTTCAAATGATTTACTTCTAATTGATCACTTTAAAAAAATTATTTGCCTAATATTCTATGAGTTCACGTCCATCTTTGTAATAGCTTTAACATCCATTTTTCTATTTTTTTCTACAATCACTATAGTTAATAACTAACTCACTTGACTTTTTAATTTAAAATTTGTATTAATTGGTCATACTAGTATCTGTCATCCTTCTTCTCTAAATTTTTCCAATATGATGCTTTCACATTGACCATTCTTTATTCTCAACTTAAGAAAGTGGAGCTCCATCATCCAAAGCATAATCTAAACTTTTCAAAGCAAGTTCATTTCCTCTGTGTTATCTGAATATAGCATTTTCTTTCCGTTTAAATAGGCAACCCCTTTTACTAGTGTTTTATCCTTCATTGGGTTATATTTTTATCTCCTTAAGGGCCTAGAAATGTCTTTTATATTTTAGATACTCAATGAAAGTAGTTTAATAAAGGCTAATAAATGATACCCACGCAACAGTGATACAGGAAGAGATGCAGGGAGAAAATGGTGAGATTTAGAGCCTATAGTAATTACATGAGAGATTCTCAGTCACAGTGATACTGGATACACTACTCAGGAGGAAGTGATTTACCTGGCTGTGCTTGGGCCATTTATCCCCATGACCATCTTTTCAATTATAGTAGCTGGTTAGTTATCCCCTCTTTTTACTTACCTGAGCCCATTGTTTGCATTTTAACATTTCCTTTTTCTAAGAGGTCACTTCCAAGTGATATTTGCCCCATGTAACAAATAAAGACATAAGATTACTCTGCAAGTCCTTAAAGGTCCTAGAATTTTATTATTGCTTTCCGTTTTTCTGTATGAAATTCTCAGTAGAGAAATTGCTAAGTGCATTAAACACACAAGGGGTAGTCAAGTGCTATAAGTAGTAATGGACTATCAAAATAAATACATTATCTCGAAGAGAGCCCAGAAAAGTCCAGCTCCTAATGAAGGTCTTGCAAAACTTGATTTCTTCTAGACTTTCAACATCCCTGCTTTTTTTTTAAGGTTTTGTAGAGCTGCATGTGGATATGGGCAAGGCCTTATTTCTAAGAGGCATGGAGGATTTTATGAAACTCCTACGAACCTTTGCCTAGAGTTTGCATCTTATTATATTAGTAGGAACTCAATAGCCCCATCTACCACACACCCAAAGTGAATTTTTTGAAGTCTGAGCTCCACAAAATCTTCCAAAGCTTGGGATTGTGTGTTCACTGAATAATCAGAAAGGCAATTTCTATGGTTTACGGTATGGTCATCTTTGGATTTTGTCTCTTTGAATGTTTAGGAATTCTTTCCCTACGCGCACCCTTTCTAGTCTCTTCAATAGATCAGGCTCATTACCAGAGTTCTATTTGAATTTTTCCATCTTTTCCTTTTAAATATAATTGACCTTTCATCTTGAAATATACCTTCTATCTGTATCTGCATTTAAAATTTCTACAACCTTTGGCCTTAGTCTCTTGCTGAGTCACAACTGGATGATTAGAAATATAGCCTCCTACAACGATTTCTCAATTCTCATCTCTCCCTTAGTGAATTACTTCAACCTGCACAACATTGACTGATCAAATCCCAAGAGAGTTTGTCTTACTTATCTGTCCTAGAAATGCTAATCAACCCAACCTCACATATTTCTTTACTATGCAACATAAAAGTCTCAGTTTATAATTCAAAACTATCCAAAATCTGATTGATCGCTTGATCTCTTAAGAGGCAAAGTTGCATAAAAAGTTTACTTTGTGCAGTTCTTTCTAGTAGACAGTTCTAATTCTGGACTCATAGACTTAAGTTCACATATCAGCTCTGATGCTGTCTTAACTGTGTATAAAGAGCAAAATAAAATTTGTTGCTTATTGTTTTTATGGGGTAGGTTTCCTAGTTTAAAATGATGAGATATATTTTATATTTATAAGTATCTAAAAATACATTTAAAAGTAAAACAATAAATTGAACTTTTTATGTGACCCTTCATCTTTATGTGTGACTTGTTATTGGCTTTGATGAGAAAAGAGCTGCTCAACTTTGCTGTAATCTTATGTCCAGATAGGCTCTGCTCTGGCCCAGAAGCCTTATTAACTGAGTCCTGCTTCCTTTTGTGCCATGGGATGTTTAAGTTCCCATGACACCACGGTTTTGCATGTTTGACAAACATAGTTTGTAACTGCCTTGTCCCAGCCCCAAGGCTCCTCCTCCCAAGATAGTTAATTAGACTTTTTTAGTGTATTCTCCTAGCATCATCCCTAGGGGTTTATGTTCCTGTCACACAAAAAAATTCTGTCTACTCCTGTCCTATGACTGATTAGATTTTATAAGACCTTCAAACCATAGATTATCCTATACTTTCCAGGATTCCGACTGTATAAATTTCAGCCCTAAATATCTCTTTATCCTTTTCCTAAATTACTATAACACATATTGTACACTGAATTATGCCAATTGTTTTTATTCATTTTCTGGTCACATATTTTATCTCTCTGCCTCACATATAAATGCATCTTCTTCACATAAGATTATAAACTCATTTAGAATAGACAACACTGCCATAGTTTTGGAGTTATACTGAATAAATTTTTGTTGAACTGGATTGCCTAGTCATGCATATTTTGATGTTTAACCTTGCATTGCTGCTATTATAACAGATAGGATGAAAGGTCACTGACCGCACACATTCCATCTCAGAAAGTTTCTGGTTCATAAAAATAAGTTCTCTTTTATTATCCCAGCTTTTTAACAATTATAATTGACTTTGGAGACTATAGTCATCCTTGGGCTGTACTTTCTCATGTACATTTGAAACATCAATAAAACCATCTCTAGTACTCTGTATTCCATTACCTAGGAGTGAAGGGTCCCCACTTAGACACTGGTGACATTATCACAAGAAAGACCAATAGGATGGGCTTCATTCATCTTCTTGCAACCAGGTACATTCCCCATCCCATCCTGCTCCACATTCATACTCAGTTATGGAAAACTGCAAGAATGTGTTTTTGTAGCACATACGTCCTTCAGCTATCTCATATAAACTGCTTCATAAATATCCATGGAAGCATTAGGGAGACCTAGTCTATGTTGTGGAGCAGGAAAGCTTATCCTTGGCATGCCTACCTCAAGTTTACCAAAGTGGAGTCCTGTGCAAGATCAGAAGAGTAGAAATACTCAGGTCTTGATGCAGTGCACATGTAATGGCTCTCTCACATTGTGGTGAAGTTGTCCCCTCTAGTTAAAGTTCAAATTCAAGTTCATCTACCATTTTTGTCATAGTTAAAGGCAGAGAGTAGGGAGTAGAAAAGCCACTCACCTCCCTAAACTTCAGTTTCCTCACAATTACATGGGAATAATAACACCCACCTCACATTATTCTTGTCAAGGTCAAATCACATGGTTTGCATGAAGGTTATTTGTAACCTGTAAAAAACTATATGGGTATCAACTCAGGGGTTAGAACCAATGATATACATGTAAATAGTTGCCACAGGGAAACAGAGTTTTTGTGTAGATATGTTACTTGTCATAGATCTTTTCTGCAAAATTCTATCCTTGCTAAGTTGCTTTGGTTGATTCCCACTGGAAGAAATACAGAAAATGATGTTTGAAAGCAGGTAACACTGTGGAACTTTCCAGGATTCCTACTTCTGTACCTAGGAGTCCTCTACTTCTGCATGAATCCTCCTTTATCTCTCTGTGGTAAATCGTCCCAGTTATCTGGTACCTCATCTGGTGCCCTAAATTTTAGTATCTACTGCATGTCTATGATGCATGGAGTTCATGAGACTGCACATCCTTGCGACCTACCAGCCTCCATAATGCTGCCTTCATCTCTTTGTTGCGGAGTGTGTAGATGATGGGGTTAAGCAAGGGAGTGATGACAGTGTAGAAGACAGCTACCACCGCATCCAGGGGTTCCTGTGAGCCAGGACGAAGATAAATGAAAGTGCAGGGCACATAGTAAACAATGACAACAGTGAGGTGGGCACCACAGGTGGAGAAGGCATTGCGGCGCCCATCAACGGACCGGATTTGCAGGATGGCAGCCACAATGCAACCATAGGAAGTAAGGATAAGCACAAAGCAGGTGAGGGCCAGGAATCCAATGTCCACAAAGGTGACCAGCTCGTTGATGGTGGTGTCAGCACAGGCTAGACGCAGCACAGCTGGGATGTCACAAAAGAAGTAGTCTACCCTGTTTGGACCACAGAAGGGCAGCCGGAATATGAAGCTTGTCTGGAAAAGTGAGTGGAGGGTGCCTCCCAGCCACGTGCCAAAAGCCAGATAGTTACAGACACTATGAGTCATGGTGGTGGCATAATGTAAAGGCTTACAAATGGCCAGGAAACGATCATAAGCCATTAGTGTGTAAAGGAAACATTCAGTGCAGCCCAAGAAATGGAAAGAAAAAAGTTGGATTACACAGCCCCCAAAGGAGATAACTCTACTATCCAAGAGAAAGCCAGCTAGCATCTTGGGGACAATGGCACAGGAAATGGTCATGTCCAAGAAGGAGAGGTGACATAGGAACCAGTACATGGGGCGATGGAACCGGCTGTCCACAAAGACAGTGAGGATGATGAGGCCATTGCCAGAGACAGTGAGGGCATAGATGACAAGGAAAGCTAGGAAGAGTGGTATCCCCAATTGTGGTGGGTAGTGCAAGCCCACCAAAATGAAGTGAGACACAGAAGTCTGATTTCCACCTTGCATTTCCTTGCTGCTCACATCTGCCAAAAAAGTAGCAGAAAGGAAAAGCTTACTGCCCTTTAAATTCTCTAGGCATTGTACATATATTCTGTGTCATTCCCAAATACAGACAGAAAAGGATCTCAGAAAAAGGGATCTTGCTCTTGCTTAGCTCTTGTTCCTAATCACTCTTTCTCCCCACACTCACTCAACTCCTCATTCTGAGATTCTGCTTGGTTCCAGGGAGCAATTGTTCTCTTCGAGATTAAAACTCATGTAATGGATGATGTGTATATAATTCAGGAGAGTGAAGGAAAGACCATACACAGGGCTTTCATGTCATGAGGAAGAAGTACAATCATATAAAACCTAAATCAATCTATGAAGAAATGGCTGTTCTGTTGTTTTCCTTCAGTTTTATCTCCGCTGTATGTACCAGAGAGTTAGGATATAGGTTATTTATTTATTTTTTAAGAATATGAGAGTTGCAATTATATTTCCTAATGTAAATGTGCCCAATAAAAATCTGTGTGGATTTTTAAAAATGCACTCTCTGGGCTACACATTAAACATACAATATTCAGAATCTTTGAAGTTGTAGCCAGAAGTAACTATTTTTATAAATTCTATTTCAAAAACACTCATGCTATTTAAAATCTTTCAGGATAGTGAAACAATACGAAATCTCAGCCCCAAGGCACCTGTTGTGATCTCTTCTCTCTGCTTCTGGATAAGTGCAGTCCATCTGTCCATCCATCCATTCATCAATCTGTTCGTTCAGTAAAGCAGCATATATTGTATCTTGAGAGCATAGCCTCTGAAGTCAGACCAAGTTTATACATCCTAGTTCCTCCACTTACACTCATTGGTAATCTTGGAAAAGCCATTTCACCTTTCTTTGCCTATTTCTAAAAGTGGGGACAGGCATAGTGCCTACCTCATAGGATTGTTGTAAGGATTAAATAAATTAATTTACATAATTCACAGTAGCACTTACTAAACATTAGCTGTAATTTTCTAGCAACGATGTGTTGTTGTCCTATTATTAGGCAAATTCAGTCATTACATTTGTGCCTCAGGTCTGAAGTGAACCTGTAGCTTCCAGTGAGTTGGAATAGGAGATGTGAGTCCTCCAACTTTGAAGCAGCCTCACAAAGAGCCTTTTCTCCCAGGGCTACTGGTGACGGTCATCAACCACAGTTAAAGGAAGAAATCAGAGAAGTGGCTAAGGGAATGCCAGAGCTCTTCCACTGAGGGATCAAGTGAGGTGTATCCTTCCTAGTGTCACCTTTCTCCTACCAATCTTTGCTCTAATAGTCTGTTTACCAACTGAAGGCAAACATCCAAAATAGTATGTCACCTTCCTGAGGACTCAGGGGCCACCGAGAATCATTCAGAAGGCTTCAGAGGGTGTGGAATGAAATTTGGTTTCCAACTGGACTCCTAGTAGGCAAAAGAACCAAGGTTGCAGCTATGGTTTCTCTCTGGCTATTTCCTCTCCTTCTTCTACTGCATGAATCACCATGTGTCCATAATCTTACCCCTTTCCCTCTTCTTCAGTGACATGAGACCAATCTTAACAGGGAAAACAGACTTTCTGGGGGCTGAATAATTTCCTGGGTCATGAGATTTTCCTTGTTAAACCTAGGAGAGTCCAAGAAAAACTGAGACAGGTGGTCACCGTAAGTAAAAATCTAAACCTCATAGAAACTAAATAATCTCTCAACATGTAGCTACAGAATCTATTCTGAAACAATTTCAGAGGAAATTCTTAGAGGCTTCCTACCCGCTTCTTTGTTTCCCAACCTTTAATAGCACCACAGTGCCCAGCGAGAAAGTCCAAACTTACTGCCATAGCCTATAAGAGTGGCATAATCTGATGTCTACCTATTTCCCTAGCCTCTTCTCTCTACACGCCATCCCCAAAATTTGTTCTGTAGCGAAATATTCTTTCATGTTTCCTTATAGATTAGTCCTTCTCATGTGGAATGGCCTTGTTCCTCTGATGCCTGAAAATTTTCTACTAACCTTTCAAGATCCCATTCATGTGTGATCTACTAAGTGAAGCCTTTCTTCCCTTTCTGCCAAATGGCCACTCATTCTTCTCAGCCTCCACAGTACTTCATTCATGTTTCTATGATAAGCTTATTCAGCATATTTCAATTTACCCCTTTGTATGTCTGATTCCTCCTATTAAACTGTGAGGTCCTACAAGGACTTTGTCTCATTTTTCTTTTCATCGCAAGTTTGTAGCATACCTTGCACAAAAAGATTCTTAAATCTCATTCAATATCTACATTCTGCTCTGTCTGGATATCCCTATTATCTAAACACTGAATCCAGGGTACTATCAATTAGGTCTTATAATCTAGCTGATGAAATCATAAGAATTCTAATACTGAGACTGTTAGAACTGGCTAGCTATGTTATTTTGATCAAATCTCTTAATATTCCTACTTTCAGTTTCTCAGCTGTAAAAAAAAAAAGAGAGAGAGAGAGAGAGAGAGAAGGAGGAGGAGTTGGTACAGATTCCCCCCAAAAAAGAAATAGCAATCTAGCAATCTCGTCTGCATCCATATCAATACACATCTTAAATTTTGTTCTTACACACAGACAATCAATTTTCCTCCTAGCCTCTATTCTCTTCTGGACTATATATTTTTTCTCTTATCTCCCTGCTGCCTTGACATCTCAGTCTTCATTCACTTTTATAATTTATTGTCCTCTCTGCGCAGAAATAATCATTTTTTTCCTCTGGGAAGATATAAAAATAGCCCTAGCTTACTCTTTAACAAGTAAAACTTCTCTAGTTACATTGTGTATGCAATTTAGTCAGTACCACATAATATCATCAACATATGATATATTCATCTGTGTAATGGGAAAAGAAGCAGTTTCTATAAGTATTCTTGGGGAAGAGGACATTAGTATCCAAATACTAGCTATATCTGGCCTTTTCAAATCCTGTATGAACTAAACTAGGCTTAAAGTAGATCCTGAAACTCATCTGGGTCAGAAAACTCTGAGAGGTAAATTGGCCTTTGGTAGGCAGACTACAGAGGTCTTCCCCTCTCCCACCACTTATTTGTAATGCCTGACTGTCTTCTCTGTTCCCAACGTACTTTTACTAAATATGTATCTTAGAAGAATTTCCATTACTACACCTCCTCCTCCCTTCTGGAGTCTTCTCTGCTGATGGTCACTACCTGGATGTGAGTATGCCAAGAGGCGATGGCCTGCTGCTTGCCTCAGCTTCCTCTTGCTCCTTGCTGTTTCTTGTGGAGGTTCCTTTTTGAGCTCAACAGGTTCCCTGGTCTTGCCCTCTGACACATCCCTTCTTGATTCTGTCACTGTCTCTTTCTGTACACTTGTCTGGGCTCGCCTCTTTTCTTTTTAGCCTTTTTGAAAGTGTTGGCAATGTTGTCCCTAGGCTTAGAATTCTAGAGTCTTGCTTCCTATCAAGCAGCTGTTCCTTCTTTCAGTCCTCATGGGATGGGGGCAGGGTGCTGACATCACTTTCGCTTCACCCTTCAGGGGCACTTAACTTTCATGGAATAAGTTGCAGTGGGCTTTGTTAACAGTGAAACGTGAACTATGGCTATTCCAGGAAGTGTATTTAGTTGCTAGTGGTGTCCCTGTAGCATAGGATCCTGCTAAGAATATACACTGATCAGGAGTCAGGAAGGATCACTCCTTCCATTTCTCTGGGTTTTAGTTTTCTCATCTATAAATTGGAGATAATGTTGCCTTATCTACTTATCCTGTACAGCTATGGGGATAGAATTTGAAAGAATTTGAAAGCCAAAGATGCTACAGAAATGCCATATGTTAATTACTTTAAAAGTGCCCTTTGACTTTACTCAGATTGAAAGAGTAAATTACTAGGACATTGCAGTAGCATAGGCAAAATTATCTTGGGCAGAACTGTCTAGATCAACCAATATGCAAATAGGAGACTAAGCTAGAAGGAGTATGAAAAACTTGACAATCTCTTAGAAGTCAAACACACGTAGATTAGAGCTGGAAGGCCCTTTAGAGAATTGATCTAGAGCACATCCCATTTTACACTTAAAAAAAATTAATTCTGAAGAGAATAAGAGCTTTTCCAAAGGTGAAAGGTCGTACTGTTTAGTTAGTGGATAAAATCTCACAGAAGTGTATGCAGATATATAATATGGAATCACTCAACTATGAGAATAGAGGAAGTTTTAGTTTTGAAATAGTGCTGGGCAAACTATAGATCAATAAATATTTGTTAAAATACTTTTTGTCTTTTAATATGTTTTAATTATTTACTTTGAATCATTGTTGCTATACAATTTTTAAGTAACATATTGTGAGACACAACATTGCACATGGTCTATTTTTTGAAGGAGCCATTCTCCACTTAAGGAATCAAATAAAATCAGCATCAAGTATTTCAGTCTGTATTTATTAGTACATTTTCCTATTACCAGGACATGATTTCCTAGTTTTTCTCTATTTCCTCATGATGCTAAGTTTAAGTCAGACTTAGGGTTCTGCTCAGAAGTAATTTTACATATAGGAAGAGAGACAGAAGGAATTTAAGACTCAAATACCTAATCTTCCCTGTCAGTTCTGTGATATCCCTGATGGGAACATGTATTTACATAGAATAATATAATGCAAAGGAATACTTGATTACAAATTGGGGCTTTGGTTCCAAAGTCCAATGTGGATCCTTGGCCTTGAAAAGTTAGGAAAGACCTTTATCTATATGAAGGAGCCTAAGTGGTTGTTTTTTTAACTCTAGACCTCTCTTTGCTTTCCACTTGATTTTCTATGTGGACGGAGCCATGGAATGTCTCTGGGAGAGGGATGGCAATTCCTAGTGCAAGTAACAACTTACAGGGAGGGTCTAAGAATCTCAAATCTGCACATTTTCAAATAAAGGACATACTGAAGCTCAGAGATTTTCCATGATTGTGATAAAATGTCTTATTTTGTTGTGGCAACCCAGCAGAAATAGCAAAAAACAAACCACGTATTTTGAATGCAGATTATTAATTACAGTA